AGGACACTGAAACAGCGACGAGGGGAACGATATAGGCCAAGTGTCGATAAATACTACCTATTGTGCATTATATATGTATATATGTGTATATGTGTCCATGTTTTTGACCCAAAACAGTTGTAGACAGCATCCCATCTTCGCCACACCGCTGAACAAATACAGTGGTTAAAGAAACCAATTTATACAGATTTTTAATTGTAAATTAGAAACGTCTATAGCGTTTGTACTAACATTTTTGCACATAACATTAGTAAAATGTTATGATTAATGGAATTAGTCGTAAAGTGCGTAGCGTTCAGACGGGGATGAATTATATCCGGTGGAGTGCATCCAATTACATTACAACGGGGGTCATTATTGCCCGAGAGTCACGACGCATCCCAAGAGAACGGAAGTCCATCTACCTCCAGGAATTCAGATGATTGTTCCATCTATTAAACTTTTATCTGAAATACACAGAAGCTGTTCGAGTAAAGGGTAAGATACTCTTTGTTTATGGACCAAAACATACCTATAAGCTTCGTACTCAATGTAGAAAATCCAAATTTCATTCTTCCACTTTGTCTATTGTATGTTCCTGATTTTGCAATACAGTTACACCAATGTCAGTTTTTGTTGTATTATATGAATATTGGACATGGAATCAGAACTACTAATTAAGTAAATTGGACAAGAGTCGGTTCTACTATTTACTAAATGCCTACCCGTCTAGACCGCAGACACGTCCTCCAAACACGAAACAGACAATAGGAAATGCGTCGATCTGATTCCGCATCTAGGAAAACATGCTAGAGATACGGTTAATTTCGATCGAACGACCACCCAGCCAATTCGTCTAATTAAAATAATTTCACTCATCACACACGAGAATCGCAACAAAAAATACTTACTGTTTAATTAAAAGAGATGAAAACATCAATTCTCAGAATGTAAACATCAACAGCAGCCATAACCTAACATACGGTCATATTACCAATCTCGAATACGCAGTAAATTATCTCGATGAATTCGACACATTCGCAAAAGTTCGCCACGTTTTTCTCTGTAATTGAGACTACTCTCAGCCATTAGAAGCATGCAATTACAGAGCAGTAAAAAGAAAAATACACAGTAAACGTATAATAACCGTTAACGCCATCAAATTTTAATCACGAAACAGAAATGCTACCCTGACTAAACTACTCCGCCGACTACTATAACCTATCCCCCCTTACTAGACAGCCACCGACACGTACTCCATCTATGAAATCGAAGGAAGAACCTCTACCCACCCTCCATTCAATTTAATCCTCGTCTATAAAACCGCACCACTACCTGAAAGCCAGTTTCGATCGCGTCTATCCGTATCGACCGATGGTTCTGATTAAAATCGTTCACAGAAGCGAAGGGGAGCGACGAGGATTCGGGCGAAACAGCTCGCCGGGGCAACTTATCTCGTTCATGAGATAACGTTTGAATGGATTAAAGCAGTAGGTATTCTTGATGCAGGGATGCTGACAGATGATGACATTGGTCAGAGAAGAGGAGAGACTGAGAGGGAA